GGTGGGGGTGTCCCGGCGCGCCTCGGCCCGCCCCCGCGCTCGCCTTTGGCGCGAAAATGGGACTGTTTCCGAGGTGTAGGCAAACAACTTACTTGTGCATGTATGTCTGATTTCTCCGCAATGACTATTTAATCCTGAACTGATTTCACCTGTTACTAATTAGCATGAACACCCTTTCCGTGGCAGCTTTTAGAAACAGAGGAGCCTGTCAGAAGTCTTTTAGACATCCAGATAGATGTCATCCATCCAAGCAAATCCAAGCAGCCAAATCACGTGGTCTGTGTACTCATGTCACCTGTAAAAATCTGAATAGATTTGTAAGATGTCCTGTCTACAAAAGCCCAACTTTCGTATATTTTCCTCCATATGTACTGCATCTGTTCTTTTCTATAATCCATACAGTCTGCCCAACAGAGCATCCCATTTAGCTATTGTTCCACGGATCCAACTTGCAGACCTTTTCAAAAATTTGTGCTGCAGTTTGCTGTTCCAAGCCTCTGGTAGGAAGTGTTAAGCAATAGGTGGCATGTGACAATGCATAGCTTATCTTCTCTATACCTGAGTTGTTCAGAACACTTGGCTTCTCTTCAGACTCATCTGCCCCAGAAATCTCCTACTGACTGTCACGAACTTCTACTGAGACTTCAGTCTGAGACAGATTAGTCTGTATTGTTAGGTGATCTGGTTGGGCATAGATCTTCATACTGATAATCATAAAATCACAGCCTTAGTATACTCTGAAGATAGTGGAGGTGGAGATTTCAGTGAAGTAATCAGGAGATAGAGAAGAGGGACATACCAGTTTAAAATAAAATCAGCATCTCCTTAGCATCTGCATGGAAAATAAAAGGTTAGGCAGAGTGGGGTTTTTTTTATTTGTTTGTTTGTTTTTTGGTTTTTTGTCTGTGATGTCAAATCTGACCAGTCTGAGTGATTCACTGATATCTAATCCACCTTCCTATATATCACTGGGTTGTTCAGCTTCTTCCTCTTTTTCTCTTGGATATTTAGGCATCCAAACGAGGGAAAATGTTCAACTTTTAAAGATAAATCAGAAATAATCAAATATCTGTCTAAGCTGCTATTATGTACCAAACCTGCACCTTTACTTGTGTGGAATATGATTCCAATGAATATGGCATCTATTCACAGAGTAAGGAAGCTATCTCTGTGTTTTCATAAGACTATTGCTAAGAATACTGGCATTTAAGTGGTCATGGCTCATACTTCACACTGTTATTTCCATTTATTTGTTACAAATAAATAGTGACTTCGTCCCCGTTTCCAAACTTATCTTTGCAACTAGAAAGGCTAAGGAAAAAAAAATTCCCCCCTAAACGGAAAGCTTAATCTCTACAGTGAATAAACATCAAAAATCCTTTGGAAGAATATGAAGTCTGAAAACATCCAGAAATTTCTTTAGGTTGTTTAACAATCCCATATGATAGCTTTTCACTGAACACTTAATTTCACAGTCTATTCAGTACACATTTTGAAAAGCTATGGGAAATGTCTACCGCACCTAGATTTTGGATTTGTTGACAGGGAAAAAAGAAAATGAGAGAAAGTGATCAGAGTACATAGCAACATATCAGATAATTCAGCTAAAAAGGATTAACTGAATATTTTTGAAGAAAAAAAAAATCACACAATTGGATTCAGTAGTCTATACAATTTCACAAAGTATTTGCAATTAGCTCTTAGTACTACTCTGTAGTACTATTTTTCTGTAGAAGATTATATTAGCAAGTCATGTTATATGTCTGAAAGGTCCTGGAGAACAGGAGAAGTGCCTGAGGCCTGGGAGAAAGCAAATGTCACTCTAGCCTTCCAAAAGAGCAAGAAGGAGGAGCCAGGAAACTCCAGCCCTATCGGCCTCACCTCCATCCCTGGAAAGGTGATGGAACAGCTCCTCCTGGAGGTCATCTCTAAGCATCTGGAGGGCAAAAAGGGGATCAGGAGTAGTCAACATATCATTCACCCAAGGGAAATCATGCTTAAGCAACCTGACAGCCTTCTCTGATGGAATGACTGCCTGGGTAGATGAAGGGAGAGCAGTGGATGTTGTCTTCCACTAGACTTCAGCAAGGCTTTTGACACTCTCTCCCATCACATCCTCATAGGCACGCTCAGGAGGTGTGGGCTAGATGAGTGGCCGGTGAGGTGGATGGAGAACTGGCTGGATGGCAGAGCTCAGAGGGTTGCGGTCAGTGGCGCAGAGTCCAGGTGGAGGCCTGTAGCTAGCGGTGTCCCCCAGGGGTCAGTCCTGGCTCCAGTCTTGTTCAATGTATTCATCCATGACGTGGAGGAAGGGACAGAGCGCACCCTCAGCAAGCTTGCTGATGATACTAAACTGGGGGGAGAAGGCTGAGAGCCCAGAAGGCTGTGCTGCCCTTGAGAGGGACGTGGCCAGGCTGGAGAGATGGGCGGAGAGCAACCTGCTGAAGTTCACCAAAGGCAAGGGCCTTGGCCCTGCCGCACCTAGGGAGGAAGAAGCCCATGGAGCAGGAGAGGCTGGGGGTTGCCCTGCTGGAAAGCAGCTCTGCAGCGCAGCACCTGGGTGTGCTGGTGGACAACAAGTGAAGCAGGAGGCAGCAGTGTGCCTTTGTGGCCAAGGCGGCGCATGGGATCGTGGGGTGCATTAGGCAGAGTGTTGCCAGCAGGTGGAGGGAGGTGCTCCTCCCCCTCTCCTCAGCCCTGGGCAGGCCTCCTCTGAGAGGAGTAGTGTGTCCCCATTGTGGGCTCGCCAGGACAAGAGAGACATGGCCCTACTGGAGAGAGTCCAGCGGAGGGCTACGAAGGTGACGAGGGGACCGGAGCATGTCTGCTGTGAAGCAAGGCTGAGAGAGCTGGGCCTGTTTATGCTGGAGAAGAGAAGACTCAGAGGCGGTCTGATCAATGCATATAGATATCTCGAGGGAGGCTGTCAAGTGGATGGGGCCAGACTTCTTTCAGCAGTGCCCAGCGACAGGACAAGAGGCAACAGACACAAAGTGGAACACGGGAAGTTCTGTCTGAACCTGAGGGAAAACTTCTTTCCTGTGAGGGTGACAGAGCACTGTCACAGGTTGCCCAGAGAGGTAGTGGAGTCTCCTTTGCTGGAGAGATTCAAAACCCGCCCGGACGTGGTCCTGTGCAACGTGCTCCAGGTGACCCTGCTTGAGCAAGGGGCTTGGACTAGATCATTTCCAGAGGTCTCTTCCAATCTCAACTATTCTGTGATACAGAAGACATTGCATCCTGAAAATCATGAGCATGTCCTTCTACATTCATGTAATAGATCTGCAGACTCAAGGTTAGTCTTTTTCTCTCTGCAACCTGAACGTTACTGAGTGTTTTTTTAAAGTCTGGCTAAGATTAGGCCCAGAGAAGGGTAAAGCTTATCATAATAATAATCATTATATAAAGTCTGTTCATTTACATACCTCAAGTTCTGTGATAACAGTCTTCGTTTGTCTTAGCAAGTACAACTAGCAAGAAAGGTGCTGACAAGACAGTTTTTCACTCCTTATTCTGTTCCATAGCAGGACATTTTGTATTCCTGTACTGGAGTCAGATCTAAGTACTGAGTAACTCCACTAAATAAAACCACAGGCAGGCCTAACAGCACAGGTTTAATGAAGTAAAACATACTGTTCTTCTAAGAGCTTTCATTATAGCTCAGAAAAAATGTCCGTGGAACAATGATTTGCCCTAATGAGAAGCTATAAATTGTTAGCAGAGGACAAAGACCTCTCTTCAAGGGGCTCTTAAAAATCTCTCAAACATACTTTTACTGTTACTCTGTTGAACTTACGACAAAGCAAGCTCAAATCAGAAGCAACTAGCACACAGATCAACTTCAGTGAAGTT